CCATCTCAGCCATCACCCCTCTACCTGTGTTCCCCATCCCAGCCCTTACCCCTCTGCCTGTGCCCCCCACCCAACCCTCACCCCCCTGCCAGTGCCCTCTCTGTCACAGCCCTGACCATTTCTGGCTGTCGTTAGCTGTCTGATGCCATGTATGTGAGGCCTTCGAGGGCAGAGCCCAGGGCTGTCTCAGTCATTGCTGTGTCTTTAGCCCTGCCTCGCCCGGGGCTCTGGCTGGTACTCAGTGAATGTTGAATGAATGAATGACCAGTGTGCTCCCTTCCTCAGTGTTACCTGTTTCACATGTACGTGGGTGTCCGGGCTGGTGGAGGCATTGGGGATGAGATCGAGGACCCCGCGGGTGACGAATACGAGCTCTACCGGGTGGTCTTCGACATCACCTTCTTCTTCTTCGTCATCATCATCCTGTTGGCCATCATCCAGGGTCAGTACTGGGGTGGGCACTCAGGGCCTGGAGGCAGCTCCATGGCTGAGGGTGTGGCCTAGGATCCAGCTGGCCTGGATTTATACCCCATCCCTACCTCTGGCTACCGTGAGACCCTGGGCACGTCGCCTCTCCGGGCTGTTTCTCCATCTGCAAAGCGAGGATGTCAGTGGTACTAACGTCATAGGTTGTGATCAGGATTAAGTCAATTCATAGGTGCTCAGTTTCTGGCTCATATCAGTGCTTAATAAAGCCCTGAGATAGAGACATATTATATATATATATTTTTGTCTGTTTTGTTTTTTGTTTTTAGAGGGAGTCTTCCTCTGTCACCCAGGCTGGAGTTCAGTGGTGCCATCTTGGCTAACTGCAACCTCCACCTGTCAGGTTCAAGTGATTCTCCTGCCTCAGCCTTTTGAGTAGCTGGGACTGCAGGCATGTGCCACCACACCCAGCTATTTTTTTTTTTTTTTTTAAGTAGAGACGGGGTTTCACCATGTTGGCCAGACTGCTCTTGAACTCCTGATCTCAGATGATCTGCCCCCTTGGCCTCCCAAAGTACTGAGATTACAGGTGTGAGCCACCTGCCTGGCCAGTAAAGGCCTAATATTAATCTTCTTAGGAATCAAAATTAGGGGTGAGATTAGGGAGATGGGGGATGGAAGGCAAGGCCGGGAGGTAGGTAGCTGGGAAAGGAGGAGTCTGAACCAGGTCAGAGGTCAGGCACTGACTTGAGTCCTGCCTCCTCAGGTCTGATCATCGACGCTTTTGGTGAGCTCCGAGACCAACAAGAGCAAGTGAAGGAGGATATGGAGGTGGGTCATGTCTGGGGGTGACCCAGAGGGATTACCGGATTTGGGGGATTAAGTGGGCCTCCACTCTCACGTCTCTTGTCACTTACAGACCAAGTGCTTCATCTGCGGAATCGGCAGCGACTACTTTGATACGACACCGCATGGCTTCGAGACTCACACGCTGGAGGAGCACAACCTGGCCAATTACATGTAAGCACGGACACACTGGCCAATCAGGAGGGTGGGGGCGTGGCTGCTGATAGCCAGGGGTGGGGTACCTAGCTTGGGCCAGTTAGGAAAAGGAGGTGTAGTGTCCATGTGGGCAATTCCCTGCCAGCCAATCAGAAGGTAAGGTTATCCCCCTCCACAATGGTTCACGTTTGTCACCCCAGCACTTTGGGAGGCCAAGGCGGGAGGATTACTTGAGGCCAGGAGTTCGAGACCAGCTTATGCAACATGGCGACACATCTTCACTACTATAAATGAAAAATAAAATAAAACAAGGTAAGGGTGGTTCTGACTTCTCTCCTGTGGTCCTCTCACCCTCAGGTTTTTCCTGATGTATTTGATAAACAAGGACGAGACAGAACACACAGGTCAGGTAAGACAGTGTTAATAGGAGGACAATGGACAGGACATGGAGCCCTTTAACATAAGGCCAGTCAGCAGGTGGCAGTAAAAAGCTCCTATTAATATCAAGGGTTAGGGCTGGGGCTGGGCACAGTGGCTCATGCCTGTAATCCCAACACTTTGGGAGGCCACAGCAGGTGATCAGTTGAGGTCAGGCGTTCAAGACCAACCTGGCCAACATGGTGAAATTCTGTCTCTACTAAAAATACAAAAATTAGCAGGGCATGGTGGTGCATGCCTATAATCCCAGCTACTCAGAAAGCTGAGGTAGGAGAATCGCTTGAACCCAGGAGGCAGAGGTTGCAGTGAGCCCAGGTTGCAGTGAGCCAAGATCACACCACTGCACTCCAGCCTGGGCAACAGAGCGATACTCTGTCTCAAAAAAATGGGCTCTGAAGAGGTGTCCTGGCTCATACCTGTAATCCTAGCACTTTGGGAGGCCACAGTGGGAAAACTGCTTGAGACCGGACCAAGACTGTCCAAGACAGCCTAGGCAACACGGCGAGACCCTGTCTCTATTAAAAAATTACCCAGGGGTGGTAGTGTGCACCTGTAGTCCCAGCTACTCTGGAGATGGGGGCGGAGGATCGCTGGAGCCCAGGAGGCTGCAGTCAGCTATGATTGTCCCACTGCACTCCAGTCTGGGCAACAGGGCAACACGCTGTCTCAAAATAGTTATATTTTCTCAAGGTCTCAAGGGTTTGAAAATGTGACCAATGGAGTCTCTCTATCCCCCAATCCTAGGAGTCTTATGTCTGGAAGATGTACCAAGAGAGATGTTGGGATTTCTTCCCGGCTGGTGATTGTTTCCGAAAGCAGTACGAGGACCAGCTTAGCTGAGACAGCCTCCCAGCTGGCCCTCCACCCCCACCCCAAGTGCCTTACTCTCACAGAAAGCCCCTTAGTCCCCAAGCCTCTACCCCAAGGCAGCTGGGGGAGAGGTGACCTGGTAATAGAAAATAAATCTGTGCTATGCCCCCAGTATCATTGTGTTGGGTTGTTGAAATTTTGGAGAAGTGGGCATCCAGAAATGGTTTCCCCCAAGAAAAACAAGATGACAGGGGAGGCTAAAGTCACGTTTATTGGGAGGTGAGGACATGCCATGACCACCGGTGTGCCTATGGGGGAGGGGGGTGCAAGGACTAACTCCTAACACCCCCCTAGGGACTCATTCCTGGATGTAGAGGTTGCTGGGAGCAGTAGGATCATCCACTGGGCGTGTCTCCACCACTACAGGCCTGTGGAAGGAAGGGAGAAGTCAGTTCATGTATTCATTCCTATGTTCATTGATTCATTCATTGACACAGTAGTTATAGAGACTGTCCCAGCCCCATGCTGAACTATAGAGTGAATGAGCAGATGTGGTCCCTGGCCTTGGGAAGCTCATATTCTAGAGAATGAGGTCAACATGAATCAGCGAATTACATGAGGGCAAAATAGCACGGCATGCGTGGCAAGGAAACCTAACCCAGGAGATCAGCCCAGACTGCCCCAGAGAACGCATGGTGCAGCCTGAAGGAGGATTAGGAGGGAACTTGGGGACAGGGGAGAACAGCCTGTGCAAAGCATTTGAGGCGGGAGGAAGGCTGGGACGTGGCTGGAGATGTCATGCCTTGTGAGCTGTGGCCAGGATTGGGTCTTTATCTTGAGGCCACAGGAGGATTTTTTTCTTTTTTTAAGACGGGGTCTCCTATCACCCAGGCTGGAGTGCAGTGGCACAATCTCGGCTCACTGCAACTTCCGCCTCCCAGGTTGAAGCGATTCTCCTGCCTCAGCCTCCCGAGTAATTTGGATTACAGGCATATGCCGCCATGCCCAGCTAATTTTTTGTATTTTTAGTGGAGATGGAGTTTCACCGTATTAGGCAGGATGGTCTCCAACTCCTGACCTTGTGATCTGCCCTCCTCGGCCTCTCAAAGTGCTGGGATTACAGGCGTGAGTCACCGCGGCCGGCCCACGGGAGGATTTTAAGCAGGGAGAGAGTGACACGATCAGACTTAGATTTTAAAATGACCCTTCTGGCATATCGAAAGGATACAGGGGCTACTTAAAGTGCTTCCCACTGGCTAAATCTGAGACTATTTGTGCCTCAAAATAAATAATGACAAGGCTGGGCGCAGTGGCTCATGCTTGTAATCCCGGCACTTTGGGAAGCCTAGGCAGGCGGATCATTTGAGGTCAGGAGTTCAAGACCAGCCTGGCCAACATGGTGAAACCCATCTGTACTAAAAAATACAAAAATTGGGCCGGGCATGGTGGCTCATGCCTGTAATCCCAGCACTTTGGGAAGCCGAGGCAGGCAGATCACGAGGTCAAGAGCTCAAGACCAAATGGTGAAACCCCGTCTCTACTAAAAAAAAAAATAATAATACAAAAATTAGCTGGGCTTGGTGGCACGCGCCTGTAGTCCCAGCTACTTGGGAGGCTGAGGCAGGAGAATTGCTTGAATCCGGGAGATGGAGGTTGCAATGAGCCAAGATCGTGCCACTGTACTCGAGCCTGGTGACAGAGCAAGACTCTGTCTCAAAAAAAAAAAAAAAAAAAATGAGCCAGGCGTGGTGGTGTCTGCCTATAGTCCCAGCTACTTGGGAGGCTGAGGCAGAAGAATTGCTTAAAATCAGAAAACAGAAGTTGCAGTGAGCCAGGATCACACCACTACACTCCAGCCCAGGTGACAGAGCCAGACTCCATCTCATAAATAAATAAATAATGATAGCATTAGACCATAACCCACAGAATACAATAAAAATGCATGAGACCATGCTGGTATAAAGGAAGAAGGGATGGAGAAGACACAGCTCTTCTCTAGAGTGGAATGCCAACTAACACATGCAGAAGGAAAGAGACAATCAGAAAATCACCATTCATTGTTAGTAACCACCTAACAATAATGGATTCAGGGAAAAATCATCAATTGATTCTAAAGCTAGTGGGCAGGCCAGGCTGGTATCACACCTGTAATACCAGCACTTTGGGAGGCTAAGCGTGAGGATCACTTGAGGCCAGGAGTTGGAGACCAGCCTGGCCAACATGGTGAAACCCCCGCCTCTACTAAAAATACAAAAATTAGCAGGGCGTGCTGACGCACACTTGCAATCCCAGCTACTCAGGAGGCTGAGGCAGGAGAATTGCTTGAAACTGGGAGGCAGAGGTTGCAGTGAGGCAAGATCACACCACTGCACTCCAGCCTGGGCTGACAGAGTGAGACTCCGTCTCAAAACAACAAGAAAAAACAAAAAACAACAAAACTAGTGGGTGAAAAATCTGATGAGAAATAGCATATTTACAGACTATTTACATAGTCTTAATCTCCCTCAAGAGATATTATTACAATGAAAACAGAGGCTGGGTGCGGCAGCCTATGCCTATAAGCCCAGTGCTTGAGGGGGCCTACACAGGTGAATCACCTGAGTCCAGGAGTTCCAGACCAGGCTGAGTAACATGGCGAAACCCTGTCTCTACAAAAAATAGAAAAATAAGCCAGGCATAGTGGTCTGTGCCTGTAGTCCCAGTACCTGGGAGGTTGAGGTGGGGGGATTGATTGAGCCCAGGAGGTCGAGGCAGCAGTGAGCCATGATTGCACCACTGCACTCCAGCCTGAGTGACAGAGAGAGACCCTGTCTTAAAAATAATAAAGAAAAACAAAGGGGAAAAAAAACAACTTTACAGTGGAGAGAACTGGCTGATTCTACCTTAACCAAATGATCAAAGTTAATGTCACCAGTAACAAGACAAACTAATATCGCGTGTGCTTCCTGAAATGATGCGCTGAGAAAGACATCTTCCTGCGGTATTACTGCCCCAAATGCAGAACCTGGAAACCTCAAACACCAGTCAAGGAACATTCTAGAAAACAACTTTCCTTTACTCTTGAAACAAGCTCATGAAAGACAAAATAAGTCTGAATAATTGTTCCAGGCTACATAATAAAGAAACACGACTCCTAAATGCAACCTATGATATTGGACCAGAAAATATATGTATTTTATCAGAGGCATCACTAGGACAACTGGTGAAATTTGTTTTGTTTTTTTTTAGACAGAGTCTCGCTCTGCCACCCAGGTTGGAGTGCAGTGGCGTGATCTCGGCTTACTGCAACCATCACCCCCAGATTCAAGTGATTCTCATGCCTCAGCTTCCCAATTAGCTGGGATTATAGGCATGTGCCACCACACCCAGCTAATTTTTGAATTTTTTTTTTTTTATGCCCAAAGGGCCAGCTGAAGGCTCCCACTCATTACAAGTCTGCATTTACATTGGGAGCAGCAGGGAATTTTTGTAGCCTGGGCAACAAGAGCAAAACTCCATCTCAAATAATTAAACAAACAAACTGCTGGGCATGTGGCACATAGCTGTAGTTCCAGATACAGAGTGAGCCGTGTTCACACCACTGAGCTCCAGCTTGGGAGCACAGTCAGAAACAAAAGAAAATGCTCCCTTGGCTGCAGTGCAGGGAATAGACTCCAGGGGGCAGGAATGAGGCAGGGTGACCAGTTGACACCCTGTCCAGGCTAGAGATACCTTGCTGGGGTCACCACAGAATGCTCTCTTCCACATCAGAAGCCCCTCCCAGGTCCTTCTGCTCCCCGCCACCCCACAACATACCTGGGCGAGCCGAGCAGACGAAAAGTGAGGGTAGGGTCTCTCAGCTCCTGTAGCAGCTAGGGAGAAAAAGTGTGCGTCTCAGTGCCTGGAAGACATCTCCACTGTGCCCACAAATATGGCACCCTTAGAGCAAGGAGCCAGGCACGGTGGCTCATGCCTGTAATCCCAGCACTTTGGGAGGTCGAGGCGAGTGGATCACAAGGTCAGGAGTTCGAGACCAGCCTGGCCAATATGGTGAAACCCCGTCTCTACTAAAAATACTAAAATTAGTCAGGTGTGGTGGTGGGTACCTATAATCCCAGCTACCTGGGAGGCTGAGGCACAAGAATCGCTTGGACCCAGGAGGCAGAAGTTGCAATGAGATGCAGAGGTTGCAGTGAGCCGAGATCGTGCCACTGCACTCCAGCCTGGGCGACAGAGTGAGACTGTCTCAAAAATATACATATGCCAGGCACAGTGGCTCATGCCTGTAATCCCAGCACTTTAGGAGGCTGAGGCGGGCAGATCACGAGGTCAAGAGATCAAGACCATCCTGGCCAACATGGCGAAACCCCGTCTCTACTAAAAATACAAAAAATTAGCCGGGCGTGGTAGTGCGTGACTATAATCCCAGCTACTCGGGAGGCTGAGGCAGGAGAATTGCTTGAAACAGGAAAATGGAAGCTGCAGTGAGCCGGGATTGCGCCACTGCACTCCAGCCTGGTGATAGAGCAAGACTCTGTCTCAAAATAAATAAATAAATAAATAAATAAATAAATAAAATATACATATACACATATATATTTTATATTAATATGTACATATATTTAATATATTTATATATACTTTTTTTTAAATCCTGGGGCAAAGAAGGGGATCTGTCTGAACTGAAATGGGAAGATGCTTCCCCCCCAGGACTTCACACTCTAACTCAGGAGTTCTTGGAGCCCATCTGATGAATGTGATGACTGAGGCTGGGTGACAGGGTGCAGGGTTTGGATGGAGGGGCTTACCTGATCCGAGCCTAGAGCCCACACCTGCACTCCATGCTTCCAGAAGGCCTGAAGCTGACCTCCAACCATAGCTGAGGAGAAAGCAATGCCCGTTACCCTTGGGGATCACTTGAGCACCCACCCCTGATCCTGGGCTGTCCCGTCCCTGCACAGACCCACGGCCTCCACGGCTTCTGTCATGGGGATCTCAGGTGTGCGAAGTCCCCGGACTGCGACCCCGTCCGGGGTCACTAGCTTCAGAGAGCCTGGAAGGGGGTAGAGAGAGGGTTTTAAGAACTGTGAGCAAGGCTTAGAGAGTCACTAAAGGACCGATCCATAAATAGTTTGAAATCTATGTGGGACAGGGACAAGGCTGAGAGGGGCTCAGGGGGTTGTGAGAAGTACAAGTTCGGAGGCAGAGATCTATGGACCTCAGCTGGAGGGCTGGGGAGGGAGGGGAGAGAGGAGGGTTCTTACCATCCATCAACACCATCACCATATCCTCCTCTACCTGGGTCACCTGCACTGGTCCCTTGTGCTCTGTTTAGGGGTGTGCATTAAGGACTGACCCCACCCCGTTCCCCTTTCCCCACCACCCCCACAAGGCCAGTACCTCTGCTTTAGCCACTGCCTCAATTCCCAAGCAAGTAGGCTAAACCCCGCCTACCATCCCGATCCCACCCCATCATCAATCTCTCCAATTAACTAAAACCTGCCATTATCCCTTCCCCGCCCTTCCAGCCCTTTCTCAGTTCGGTGGTGCCTCAGGCCAAGTGAAGCCCCGCCTCCAGCCCCGCCCCTCCGGACTTGTAAGCTCCGCCCCCAGCAGCCTCGCCCTCAGCGAGACTTCGCCCCACTCACTGGTGCTCATCTCGCCCAGCCAGCAGGAGAGCGCGCCAAAGCGCACGGTGTGGAAGAGCACCGACTTCCCCGACCGCCCGGGGCTCACGCCGATGCACACAGAGGGCAGCTCAGAACCTGGCCCGGTCAGCAGCGCGAACACGGACAGAGGCGTCGGCAGTGGGAACAGCACCTGCTGCGGGCCGCACAGGGAGGGGCGGGCTCGGGGGTGACTCAGGACCGGGCCTCAGGGGGCGTAGCTTGGAGCTGGCCAGGGACTTCCGAACCAAAGCCCTAAGTCTTGGAGGATGCGATCTAGAAATGTCATGGGGTGCCAGGCGTGATGGCTTACGCCTATAATCCCAGCACTTTGGGAGGCCGAGGCGGGCGGGTCTCCTGAGGTCAGGAGTTCGAGACCAGCCTGGCCAACAGGGTGAAACCTCGTCTCTACTAAAAATGCCAAAAAATTAGCTGGGTGTGGTGGCACACGCCTGTAATCCCACTACTCCGGAGGCTGAAACATGAGAATCGCTTGAATCCAGGAGGTGGAGGTTGCAGTGAGACAAGATCAAGCAACTGCACTCCAGCCTTTGCGGCGACAAAGCTAGACTCCCTCTCAAAAAAGAGGCCGGTAATCCCAGCACTTTGGGCGGCAGAGGCGGGCTTATCACCTGAGGTCGGGAAATCAAGACCAGCCTGACCAACATAGAGAAACCCTATCCCTACTAAAAATACAGGCGTATGGTGCCACGCGCTTGTAACCCCAGCTACTCAGGAAGCTGAGGATGGAGAATCGCTTGAACCCGGGAGGCGGAGGTTGCGGTGAGCCGAGATGGTGCCATCGCACTCCAGCCTGGGTAATAAGAGCGAAACTCCGTCTCAAAAAAAAAAAATGTCGGTGAGGGTGAGGCCTGGTGCGTCCGTGGAAGCGGGGGGTGGCCTCCGAGTGGGTGTGGCTTCCATGGGGTGGCGTACCACCTTGGCAACAGACGGGCAGGGCCCCAAGGATAGCAAAACCTGCTTAGAGACTCAAAGGGACAGGCCCTAAATGGGCTCTCCTAGGAGACCCAGGGAGTGGCAGCATTGAGCCTGAGGAATAATTAGGCCCAGGTGTCAGGGGCGGAGCTTAAAAATCAGGATGGCCACAGAAGGGCGAGGCTCCAGCGCAGACAGCCAGTGGGCGGGGCCTCGAAGGAGGTGGGACTTCATGGAGCTCTCGAGAGAAGCGCAAAGGGTGCAAGGCCCTTTCCACTCGCTCTTCAGAGTTCCCAGCACCTTCCGAAGCCCCCTTACCCGGACGAGCAGGAATTTGTTCATGGGCTGGTACCACTGAAGCAGGACAACAGACGTCTCCAATGCCCCGCACAGGAACGGGCCCCCAGAGCTCGAACCCTCCGCTGCGGCGTGGACAAGGATGGGTCAGGTTCAATGCCTTCTCCCCTCCTCGCCATCCTCCCACAAGGCCCACACTACCACCATCTTCTGGGCTCTGGACACGCTACCTAAACTCTGTAACCTTCTTGGGTGAATGCAGCCCAAGCACCGCCTCTGGCCCAGCCCCGCCCACTCTGCACACTGTGAAGCTCTCTCACCCACACAGCAAGCCCGGCAGCCTTTGGTGTCCTGGATCTTGGTGGAAACCATGTTCTTCCTGTAGAATAGGTAGGTGTGTAGCGGCGTAGGACAGCAGGAGGCAGGGGTGGGAATGGGGGAATTATAAGGCTCTGTGGTGCCATTCATTGGGAGCTGGTACCTTGCCAGTAGCCGGTGGGGGCTAATGTGAGCGATCGGGTTTCCTGCTCTGGTCTCTCTCCGTTCTAGTAGGCCCAGGATACTATGAGAATACAGGTGGGGGGTCTTTCCTGCAGTGTGTGTGTTTGTGGGGGGAAGCAGGCAGTTATAGGATCCCATATACCACTTCCTTTCCTCCATCCCTTCCCTGGGTCCCATCCCTTTGTCTGAAAATCCCAAGCCTACAAGTTTCAAGTGTTTTTCATTCATTCATTCATTTCTCACTCCACATAGATTAAAGGCCCATTGCAGGCCAGGCCTGCTGTGCTTGGCTCTGGTGAATATGATCTCTATCCTCGTGTTTGTAGCAACATCAGAAACTGTGGACATATAACCAGTCAGATGAAGTTACACATGTTATAAAGTTTTAAGGCTGGGCGCGGTGGTTCACACCTGTAATCCCAGCACTTTGGGAAGCCGAGGCAGGCGGATCACCTGAGGTCAGGAATTTGAGACCAGTCTGACTAACATGGTGATACCCTGTCTCTACTAAAAATACAAAAATTAGCCAGGCGCAGTGTCGGCCACCTATAATCTCAGGTACTCAGGAGGCTGAGGCAGGAGAATTACTTGAACCCAGTAGGCAGAGGTTGTAGTGAGCTGAGATTGCACCATTAAACTCCAGCCTGGACAACAAAGCGAGACTCTGTCTCAAAAAAACAAAAAGCCAAGTGTGATGGCTCACACCTGTAGTCCCAGCTACTTGGGAGGCTAAGGCACAAAAATCACCTGAACCTGGGAAGTAGAGGTTGCAGTGAGCCAAGACCATACCACTGCACTCCAGCCTAGGCAACAGAGTGAGACTCATTGGTCTCAAAAAAAAAAAAAAAAGAAAAATCAAGAGAATTTATCATTATTCAAACAGTGTCTTTAAAAAAAAGAAGCCTTGGCCAAGTGTGATGGCTCACACCTGTAATCCCAGCACTTTGGGAGGCCAAAGCAGGTAGATCACCTGAGGTCAGGAGTTCAAGACCAGCCTGGCCAACATGACAAAACCCCATCTCTACTAAAAATAAAAATACAAAACATAGCTGGGTGTAGTGGTGCACACCTGTAATCCCAGCTACTTGAGAGGCCAAGGCATGAGAATCACTTGAACCCAGGAGACAGAGGTTGCAGTGAGCCGAGATCGTGCCACTGCACTCCATACAGCCTGGGCAACAGAGCAAGACTGCCTAAAAAAAAAAAAAAAAAAAGAAGACTAATTTATTGTAGACACTACCTCAAAACTGACTTGAGAGGTGAGGACTACTGTGAACCCCATTTTACAGATGGAGAAACTGAGTCTCGAGGAGCACAGTGAAAAAGTGGGTGGGATTTGAACCTAGGACTTTGTGACCAGGAAGTCTAAGTTTTTTTTTCAGCTGTGCCTAGCTACTTCCCAGCCTCCAAACCCTTGACCCCTTAACCTCTGACCCCATCTCACCCACTGCCCACAGCCAGACCTGAGAGAGACATGAGAACGTTGTTGATGGAGTACACCCACGTAGTCCGGCTAGAAAAGAGCTGCAGGGAAGTGGGAGACACGGCTCTAGTGACACCCCAGCAACCCCTGACTCCAGCCCCTGCCCTTGCCCTAGCCCGGTATGGTTCCTCACCATCTCCAGCGTGGCCTCCTGGTCATTCCGATTCAGGATGAAGATGCCTTCCTCTGCCCCCAGGAGCAGGTGCTGGTCTGGAGGCACAGACAAGGACGCTGGGACCGACATGATCCTGGGGCCTCCCAGATCCCCACCTGTCTGACCTTAAACACTGGCACTCTGGCACGAGTTCTGACCCTCTACTCTTTCTCCAAACCAATACTTCCAGCCTCTGTTTCCCCAAACAAACCCAGAGCGGACAGTCCCTCAAGCCAGCCTCATTCTTCCTCCCTTTGACTACCCATGTTCTGGTGGTTTCTTTCTTTTTAATTTTTATATTTGTTTTTTTGAGATGGAGTGAGTTTCACTCTAGTTGCCCAGACTGGAGTGCAATGGTATGATCTCAGCTCACCGAAACCTCTGCCTCTCGGGTTCAAGTGATTCTCTTGCCTCAGCAACCCAAGTAGCTGGCATTACAGGCAAGCACCACCATGGCCAGCTAATTTTGTATTTTTAGTAGAGACAGGGTTTCTCCATGTTTGTCAGGCTGGTCTCGAACTCCTGACCTCAGGTAATCTGCCTGCCTCGGCCTCCCAAAGTGCTGGGATTACAGGCATGAGCTACCACGCCTGGCCAGCCCATCTTTTTTATTTTTAGCAGATATAGGGTTTCGCCATATTAGTCAAGCTGGTCTTGAACTCCTGACCTCAAGTCATCCACTCCCTCAGCCTCCCAAAGTGCTGGGACTACAGGCGTGAGCCACTGCACCTGGCTGCCCTCTATGCATCTTTGATCACCAAATCCTGAGTGTAACAAGCTCCGCCTCTGTTTCAGCCTGGCCACGCCCGGTCCCCATTAAGCTCCTCCCCCTCCCTGCCTTTGTGTCTTGTTTAGGCTCCTCCCCATCCCTGCTTTTGCTCCCCCATTCCCTGCAGGATCTCCTTGACCCTCCCGAATGCCCACCCTTAGTGGAGGGGTGTGTCCAGGTGGCTGTGCTGTGGATCCGGAGAGGACAGCCATTGAATAACTTTACCAGAAGGGCGCATCCCTGGGCAGGCAGTGGCAGAGCCCGGCAGCAGATCCAGCAAAGAGAGCAAAGAACAGGAAGGAACAGTGGTTAAGACTCTGGAGCAAGAGTGTCAGGGTTCAAATCCTACCTCTTACCTTGGTGTAATTTCCCGTAATCTACCTCTGTAATATACATTTTCATATATTGAGTTTTCTTTTCAGTTTATTTTCTTTTTTTTAGTTTTTCTAACACTATTCTAAATCATCAGCTTTTTTTTTTTTTTT